ATGTGATTAAGCTTTCATTATGATTCTTAGATACGATCAACATAATGATTTTTGATTTAAAATTAGAATAAAATCTCTTAATTATATGGAAAACCCAGGTTTGATTCCTATAGTGCTGAGTCCCTGTTTATAGTTATAAGATATTTGATCATATTAACCAATTGTTTTCTTTCCTAAGTATACAAATAACTTTTGTATTTTTGTATTTTGCTTTATGTATTTTCATATACTTCCATATGGGAGACAGTCCCCCTATTGTGTTACTTTGATCTCTATCTTAATTTTCAAGGTGACTGTATCATGCGTTAATATATGGCAAGAGTAGCTTCAATGGATACCGTGTTTTGTTGTTTTTTACATTTAATGAGCCTTATTGTTACAGCAGTATTAAGTTCACAGCAAAATATAATAGAAAGTACAGAGAGTGTCCATATGCCATACCATGCTCCCTTACACGCCTAGCCTCCCCTGTTGTCAACATCTTGCACGACAGTGGTCCATTTTGAGTAGTATATATTTTTCAGTTCCTTTGTTTAGTTTTGAGCGAGAGAGCATGAACATGTGTGAGCAGCAAAGGGGCAGAGAGAGAGGGGAGAAAGAATCCTGTGCTGTCAGCACCGATACTGATGCAGGACTTGATCCCATGAACTGTGAGGTCATGACCTGAGCTCAGATCCAGACTTGGACGCTGAACCAACTGAACCACCCAGGCACCCTGACAACAGTGGTGCATTTGATATGGACACTAACTCATCATTTTCAGGCAAAGTCTCTAATTTGCATTAGTGCTCAGCCTTGGTATTATACATTCTATGACTTATAACAAACATGTAATGATGTGAATCCACCTTTGTGGTATCGTGTGAAAGAGTTTCACTGCCTTAAAAGTCCTCTGTGCTGTGTCCCTTTATTCCTACATTCACCCCAACCCTTACCTCCATAGTCTTGCTCTCTCCAGAGTGTCATATGGTTAGAATTATACCGTGGATATCTTTGAATGTTTAGAAAATTAAATTCCCCCGTAATTGAATGTAGGCATTCAAGATATTCTTTGCACTTGGTTTTGTTTTGTTGCTCATCAGTAGAGGATCTGATGATATATGCCTTCCATGAAAAAAAAGCATGATTTCTCTAGATGTGTGTCACCTAATGGGGAGGGTTGAGAAAAATGACATCATCAACCACTACATAGCACTCACATTGGGATCATCCTCCTCTGTGATGTATAAAGATATACTCTTTAGCAATGGAAGGAGACAGTCTCAAGAGGTTAGAACTTTATCAAACTGGAATGCCAAATCCTTCTTCCTTAACTTGCCATTGGAAATAAGGCCAGGGAGAGTCTGTTTGCTATGGTTTGGCCATGCTGCAAAGTACAATAGCTATAGAGCACACTTTGTGAGGGGGTGTTTCATCCTAAAACTGAACACTCTGTACTGAAGGACTGGGGAAGTTCTGCCGTGTTACAGCAAAAATAAACATACTCTCTTTTAACTCCTCTAGTAGTGGAAGTCCAGAAAAATCATGCTAGTTTCAGTTTGACATTGTCAGCTTAGGATAATCATTCTCCTAACGATACCATTTTCCTCCTGCATCATAGAGTCGGTCAGTGATGGTCATTGGAAACATCAGTTCACCTGTAGGTGTCAAATTCCGATAAAACCTATTCTTGCTTTTGGTCAATATAGAGGAGAAAGTAAGATTTCTTAATGATTTAAGCCTACCAATGGTATAATTACCATTCAGTGTAGTGTGGTTTCCAGGTGTGGTCCCAAAGGAATACTTTTGAACAAATCATTAGCTGTACACTTGTAATTTCCTATATTTTTCGATTGTTGATTTAACGTGTATTTTGCTTTCTTCTTTAGGAGCAGATAAGAATGCTGAAGAAGACTCTATAACCAGGTAGGATTTTTATGGATTTGTAAAAATGACATTTGTTGGGGCACCTGGGTGGCTCATTCGGTTAAGGGTGTGACTCTTGATTTCAACTCAGGTTTGTGAGTTCAAGCCCCACGTCGGGTTTTGTGCTGACAGCCTCCTTGGGGTATCTTTCCCTCTTTCTGTGTGCACTCACTCTCAAAGTATAAAGGAAGGAAATGAAATGAAACAGCAAATGAAAGGAAAGGGAATGAAATGAATGAACTGAAAATTATGTGTTTCCTAAGGGAACGCACAGAACAAAAGCAGTTGTTGAGTGTTCTACCCTGGACCAGACACTATATCCTATGCATAACATCTGTTAAGTTTTATAGTCATTGCCTAGCTTTGCAAAATAGCTGTGTTATTGTAGCATACTTTTTATTACTTTGGCAACTGTGGTTCAGGGCAGTTGATTACTTGCCCCATGATTCCATAGTTAATGAGTAGCTGAGTGGTTTGCCCATCAGTCTGTGTAGCTTCCACATCCATTCTCTGGTTCCTCAGCAGCACTGAGATGAAGACACAGATCCTAGGGCAGATCAACTCAGAATGTCAAAGGTAATGATGTCGGAACTCTAATTTAAGGTTTTCTTAAGAAACCAGGATAGTCCAAGCATTTGCCCTTATATGTTTGACCACTAGTGCTAACAAAAGTACTTAGTGCAGTGGTAACTAGTCCCTTGTTTTTACCATCAGAGATTTTAGGGTGGATGTCAGCTATGGCCATGGTGTCACAGCTTTTACATAATAAGCAAGATCTCAGGCAGCTCCTTAGATGTGGTGATATCTCCTCTTCTTGAGACGATTGAGTTTTCCGTAAGGGAAGGATATCTAGTTGTAGAGCATGTTACGTTCATTAAATTCAGCCTTTATTTGGAGGATATTACTCTATGATTCTCTGTTGCCTAAGTTCCCAGTCTGGTTTCCCTTCGGGCCAGTACCCTTGACTTGTTCTAGGAAGCTTTTTCTTTTTTTGGAGATTTTTCTTCCCATGACTTTTCTGTACTGTGTTTTGCCTTTTTACTTTCTTCTCTGGTTTTCTTGGTATTTCTTTTTTTCCATTAATTATTCCACTTCTGCCAGCTAGGGACTTTCCATTTTTCCAGAGGCCAAATCAAAAGCACTTAGAATCTCAAGATGTAGGGAACCTCAGAGATTAATTCATCAAAATACCGTCTGGTACTTCAACCTATGTTTAACCTCCTTGCCCAATGGTTGTTTCCATGGAGAATTTGAAACTCAAAGAGATTGAAGTGACCTATTTGGATATGATAAGTGACAGAAATGAGATTTAAATTCGGGTTCTTTTCTTTCTTTCCTTCTTCCCTTCTTCCTTCCTTTCTTTCTTTCTTTCTTTCTTTCTTTCTTTCTTTCTTTCTTTCTTTCTTTCATTTTTTGTCTTCACCTTGCAGGCAAATGTTTTAATAATAGAAAGCTGGGAAGCGGGTCTAATGAATACAATGAAGGAGGGTAAGAATCAAATTAGCAGAGGAGACCAGGTTTCAAGAAGAACAACACTGAGCTGGATAGGAATAAGAGTTTTAGAAAAGATGTCAGAATATGGGGTTTATGTCAAGTGAGATAAAGGTGAATGACAGGAATGAAGGACCCAGGATCAGGGGAGTTGTTTAGAAAGGCATATTCAAATAGAGAGTTCAAGAGGGTCCTGACCAGGTTTCTGCTTTTGTGTCTGTTGGTTTCATTGAAGGTGCGAGCATACTTCAGATTTTCTGTTGAGAGAGACTGAAAATCATTTGAGCTGCTGGGAAGAGTCTGTTTACAGCAAAGAGAAATATGATATCCTCTCCTTCCACCCCCACTTAGGGAGGATGGCTTAGATCCTCTCAAGGAATTGGGGGTGGGGGTGGAGATTCTGAACTACAGAGATGTATGGCCCAAGGCAAGCTGTCTCCTCACTCCACCTCTATTCCTAAATCTGTGATGCCCTTCCCATGTACCTGTAGGGCTGGGCAAGGGTAGGACTGACTTGTCAAATCAGTAAGGGAGTTTCGTCTGGATAGGTGATAACATGCCTATGTTGAGGTGACTGTGTGGATGACGGAGACTCCCAATTAGCTTGTTTTCCAGGAGCAGGACATGGCTCCTACCCTCGGTCATTTGAGCCCATCCTTGTTGAAGGAGTCTGTGCCTTCATAGGCTAAAGATTGAAAGGTTGGAGAATGCCACTGAACTGTGCCGAAGAGTGATGTAGGAGTGGGAGCTCATAGGGAAGAAAATATTCAGGCAGCGAATAGAGAAGCAGAGGCACAACTACCAGGACCATTTTGATCACAGTCTCTCTCCTTGGGTAGCTGATTGCCCCTGAAGGCTTGGAAGGTCTTGCTAGTTCTTATGGACCTTAATAAGGCAAGACCAGTGTAGGAACAAAGTTGGCCTTGGGAACTTTTAATCTTTTAATCTCCAGTTAGTACTTCCACTCATAACATAGAAACCTTCACTTTGGTATATTTACTTAAACGGAGGTCTACCTGACACAATGTAATAGGTGATGCAACAACTCTGGGTGTTCCTCCATGCTCGCTTTAATGTAGCTCCCATCTGTTAATGTATAATGCTATTACGATATCACTGACTAGATTCTCTATGGTGTACCTTTGAGCCTTGTGATTGATTCATTCTATGACTGGAACCCTGAACTTCCCTCTCCCCTTCACCCATTTTGTCCATCCCCCCACCCCCCCTCCCTCCTGGAGACAGTCAATTATCTGCGTTTATGGGTCTGTTTCTGCTTTTTCTCTGTTTGTTCATTTGTTCCCTTTTTTAGATTCTACATAGAAGTGAAATCATACAGGATTTGTGTTTCTCTGACTTATTTCACTTAGCCTCGTACCGTCTAGATATATCCATGATATTGCAGATGGCAAGATCTCATTCTGGTTTATAGCTGCTTAATATTCCATTGTGTGTGTGTGTGTGTGTGTGTGTGCGTGCGTGCGCGGTCTGTTCATGTATTGGTGGACACTTGGGTTGCTTCCATATCTTGTCTATTGTCAATAATGCTATAATAAGGATAGGGGTGCATATATCTTTTCAAATTAGTATTTCCATTTCCCTTGGGTAAATAAATACCCAGTAGTGGAATTCCTGGATCCTATGGTATTTGTATTTTATTATTTGTTGAGGCCCCTCCATACTGGCTTTCGCTGTGGCGATACCAATTTACATCCCATGACCAGTGCACAAGGGTTGTTTTTCTCCACACCCTGAGCAACCCTTGTTGTTTCCTGTGTGTTGAAACTGAGCCATTCTGACAGATGTGAGGTGAGAAGTCATTGTGGTACCTTTTATACATTTAATTTTCAACCATTTCAGAGAATTCCCTGCCTGTCACACTTGGTTATGGAAACTCAGACTGGGTCTTTCCTGGAGATTTCACAGCTTAGGAGAGGTGGAGGCAAAATAGCGAACTGAAAGCTGTTTTAAAACAGGGTCCAGGGGCGCCTGGGGGGCGCAGTCGGTTAAGCGTCCAACTTCAGCCAGGTCACGATCTCGCGGTCCGTGAGTTCGAGCCCCGCGTCGGGCTCTGGGCTGATGGCTCAGAGCCTGGAGCCTGTTTCCCATTCTGTGTCTCCCTCTCTCTCTGCCCCTCGCCCGTTCATGCTCTGTCTCTCTCTGTCCCAAAAATAAATAAACGTTGAAAAAAAAAATTAAAAACAAAACAAAACAAAACAAAACATGGTCCAAATTTTGAAAGACTTGTACTCTGGAAACCGTAAAACACTGATCAAAGAAATGGAAGGTGACGGAAAGAGAAAGACTTCCGATGCTCATAGATGGGAAGAATACGTATTTTTAAAGTGTCTACACTACCCAAAGGAATCTATAGATGTAATGCAATCCCTGTCAACATACCAACAGCATTTGTCACAGAGCTATACAAACAATCCTAACCATTGTATAGAACGACAAAAGACCTTGAATGGCCAAAGCAATATTGCAAAAGAGGAAAACTGGAGGGATCACAATCTCAGATTTCAAGTTTTATTCCAAAGCTGTAGTAATCCCAACAGCATGGTGGGTACTGGTGTGAAAAATAGCCACATAGCTCAATGGAATAGAACCGAAAACCCAGAAATAAATCCACAACTGTATGGGCAGTTAATCTTCCACAAACAGGAAAGACTATCCAGTGGGGAAAAGGCAGTCTCTTCACCAAATGGTTTTGGGAAAACTGGACAAGCCACATGCCAAAGAATGAACCTGGACCAATTTCTTTACCATAGACAGAAGTAAAATCAAAATGAATTAAAGACCTAAGTGTGAGACCTGAAACCATAAAAAAAAATCCTTGAAGAGAGCACAGGCCGTCATTTCTCTGTCTTTGGCTGTAGCAACATTTTACTAGTTATGTCTCCTGAGCCAAGGGAAATGAAGCAAGAATAAACTATGGGGACTACATCAAACTACAAAGCTTTTGCACAGTGAAGGAAACCATCAAAACTAAAAGGCAACCTCTGGAATGGGAGAACATATTTGCAAATGTTTTGCAAATCCTGTAAAGGGTTAGTATCCACAATGTATAAAAAATGGATACAAGTCAGCATCCCTCCCCCTCCATAAAAGCCCAGTTTAAAAATGAGCAGAAGACATAACCAGACATTTTTCCACAGACAACATACAGATGGTCAACAGACACATGAAAAGATGCTCCCCCAAACTACAACGAGATACCACATCACACCTGTCAGAATGGCTCAACTCCCAGACACAAGAAGCAAGTGTTTGCGAGGATGTGGAGACAGAGGAAACCTCTTGCACTGTTGGTGGAAATGCAAATGGGTGCGGCCCCTGTGGAAAACATTATGGAGGTTCCTCAAAAAATTAAAAACAGAACTCTCCTATGATCCAGTAATTGCACTCCTGGATACTACCCAAAAGAATACAAAAACACGAATTCCATGGGACACACGCACCCCTGTGTTTATTGCAGCATTATTTCCAATAGCCAGCACAAGTGTCCATTGACAAACGAGTAAACGAAGAAGAAGTCCTATATGTATGTATGTGTGTGGATATGTATATGCATAGACACACACACACACACACACACACACATACTGGAATATTACTCAACCATAAAACAATGAAATCTTGCCATTTGCAATAACCTTGATGGTGCCCGAAAGTAGTATGGTAAGCAAAGTCAGGGAAAGACAAATACCATAAGATTTTACTCACGTAGTATTTACGAAACAAATGAGCAAAGGAAGAAAAAAAAGGGAGAGACAAACCAAGAAACAGGCTCTTAACTGCAGAGAACAGATGGTTCCCAGAGCGGAGGTGAGTGGTGGGAGGGGGTGAAAGAGGTGATGGGGATGAAGGAGTGCCCTTGTCATGATGAGCACGGGGTGAGTATGGAGTTGGTGAATCATTGTATTGTACAACTTAAACTAATAGAACACTGGATGTTAATATTACTGGAATTAAAATAAAACTTAATGGAAAAAACAGAGGCCAACTTTTAATTATGCCAACAAACTTCGTTGAATAAACAGAGAGCTGACCTTTCCCTTAATTTTTAAAATTTTGTTTTTAAAAAAATGAACATGGTTTTGTTGTATATTTTTGCTCTAGAGGCTTTCCGACAAACCTGGTCCTGATGATTCATGGCCTACATCAGCTAGCCAAGACTTCAATTTGGTACCAAGGTAAAGTGCCCTCCGGTGAAACTCACTTTCCCACTCTGAATTTAGTTTTCTCCCATATTTACTCTTAAAATTTAACAGTAGCCTGTGTCTCATCATTTTATGTGTGTAATGGAAAGTTAGCAAGAAGAAACTGGACAGCAACATGCAGAATAATGAAACTAGAGAACTTTCTTACACCATTCACAAAAATAAACTGAACATGGATAAAGGACCTGAATGTGAGACAGGAAACCATCAAAACCCTAGAGGAGAAAGCAGGAAAAAACCCGCTCTGAACTCAGCTGCAGCAATTTCTTACTTGACACATCTCCAAAGGCAAGGGAATTAAAAGCACAAATGAACTATTGGGACCTCATCAAGATGAAAAGCTTCTGCACTGCAAAGGAATCAATCAACAAAACTAAAAACAACCAATGGAATGGAAAAGATATTTGCAAATGACATATCACACAAGTGGCTAGTTTCCAAAATCTATAAAGAACTCACCAATCTCCACACCCAAAAAACACATCCTCCCGTGAAGAAATGGGCAGAAGACATGAATAGACACTTTTTCAAAGAAGAAATCCAGATGGCCAACAGGCACATGACAAGATACTCAATGTCACTCCTCATTAGGGAAATACAAATCAAAACCACACTGAGATACCACCTCACGACAGTCAGAGTGGCTAAAGTGAACACATCCAGAGACTATAGATGCTGGAGAGGATGCGGGGAAATGGGAATCCTCTTGCACTGTAGGTGGGAATGCAAACTGGTGCAGCCACTCTGGAAAACAGTGTGGAGGTTCCTCACAAACTTAAAGATAGATCTACCCTATGACCCAGGAGTAACACTGCTAGGAACTTACCCAAGGGATACAGGAGTGCTGATGCATAGGGGCACTTGTACCCCAATGTTTATAGCAGCACTTTCAACAATAGCCAAATTATGGAAAGAGCCTAAATGTCCATCAACTGATGAATGGATAAAGAAACTGTGGTTTATATACACAATGGAATACTACTTGGCAATGAGGAAGAATGAAATATGACCTTTTGTAGCAACGTGGATGGAACTGGAGAGTGTTAGGCTAAGTGAAATAAGTTATCCAGAGAAAGACAGATACCATATGTTTTACTCTTATGTGGATCCTGAGAAACTTAACAGAAGACTATGGGGGAGGGGAAGGAAAAAAAAGTTAGAGAGGGAGGGAGTCAAACCATAAGAGACTCTTTAAAACTGAGAATAAACTGAGAGTTGATGGAGGGTGGGAGGGAGGCGAAAGTGGGTGATGGGCTTTGAGGAGGGCACCTTTTGGGATGAGCACTGGGTGTTGTATGGAAACCAATTTGACAATAAAGTTCATATTAAAAAAAAAAAGACTCCACCAAACAACTGCTAGAACTGTTACATGAATTCCGCAAAGTCACAGGATATGAAACCAATGTACAGAAATCAATTGCATTCTGTACACCAATCATGAAGCAGAAGGAAGAGAAATTAAGGAATCTATCCCATTAACAATTGCATCCCAAACCATAAGATACATAGGAATAAACGTATCCAAGGAGGTAAACGATCTGTATGCTAAAAAGTATCGAGAGCTTATGAAGAAATTGAAGAAGACACAAAGAATTGGAATGACATTCCACGCTCATGGATTGGAAGAAAAAATACCGTTCAAACATTTATACTCCCCAAAGCAATCTCCAGCCTCAACGCAATCCCTATCAAATAACATCAGCCTTCTTCACAGAGCTAGAACAAACAATTCTAAAATATGTATGGAACAGGAGAAGACCCCGAATAGTTCAAGTGATGTTGAAAAAGAAAACCAAACATGGAAGCATCACAATTCCAGACCTCAAGATATGTTACAAAGCTATAATCACTAAGAGAGTATGGTACTGGCACAAACACAGATACATACATCAATGGAACAGAATCGAGAACCCAGGAATGGACTCACAAGTGTACAGCCAAGTCATTTTTGACAAAAGAGGAAAGAATAGCCAACAGAAAAAGACAGTCTCTTCAACAAATGGTATTGGGAAAACAGGATAATGACATGCAGAAGAATGAAATGGGACCACTTACCTACACTATACACAAAAAATGAACTCAAAATGGATGAAAGACCTACATGTGAGACAGAAAACCATCGCAATCCCAGAGGAGAAAACAAGCAACAACCTCTTTGACCTCAGCCACAGCAACGTCTTAGTAGACATGTTTCCGGAGAGAAAGGAAACAAAAGCAAAAAACAAAAACAAAACAAACAAACAAAAACAAAACTCTTGGGACCTTATCAAGATAAAAAAGCTGCTGCACGGCAACGGAAACGATCAACAAAACTGATGGAATCAGAGAAGGTATTTGCAAATGACATATCAGATAAAGGATTGGTTTCTAAAATCTGTAAAGAACTACCAAACTCAACACCCCAAAACCAAAGAATTCAGGGAAGAAATGGTCAAAAGACATGAACAGACGTTTTTCCCAAGAAGACAACCAGATGGCTAACAGACACGTGAAAAGAGGCTCAACTTTACTCATCATCAGGGAAATACAAATCAAAAGCAGAATGAGGTACCACCTCACACCTGTCAGCATGGCTCAAATTAGCAACGCAGGTAGCAATAGATGTTGGCGAGGATGCGGAGAAGGGGGAACACTTTTGCACTGTTGGTGGGAATGCAAACTAGTGCAGCCACTTTGGAAAATAGTATGGAGGTCTGCAAAAAAATTAAAAATAGAGCTACCCTACGTCCTAGCAATTGCATGACTAGATATTTATCCAAAGGATACAGGAGTGCTGATTCAAAGGGGCACATGCACCCCAGTGTGTATAGTGGCACTATCAATAATAGCCAAATTATGGAAGGAGCCAAAGTGTCCAGTGACTGATGAATGGATAGAGAAGATACAGAATAGAATATTATTGCATGAGCCAAAAAAATTGAAATCTTGCCTTTTGCAAATATTATTCCATGATCCAAAAGAATGAAATCTTGCCTTTTGCAACAACGTGGATGCAACTAGAATGTGTTATGGTAAGCAAATTAAGTCAGTCAGAGAAAGACAAGTATCATGTGATTTCACTCATATGTGGAATCTAACAAAATAGATGAACATAGGAGAATGGAAGGAAAAATAAGATAAAAACAGAGATGAAGACAGTCCATAAGTGACTTGATTAACTCTTCACACACTGAGGACTATTGGAAGGGTGTTGGGTAGAGGGATGTACTAAATAGGTGATGAGCATTAGGGAGGGCACTTGGTGCGGATGACCACTGGGCGTTATATGGAAGTGATAAATCACTAAATTCTATTACTGAAACCATTATTACACTATGTTAACCAACTTGGTTTAACAACAAAAAACAAACAAAAAAACTTTAAAAAGATGGTCACAGACAGAGCACATTCAAAGCCCAGAGTGAGAACACATCTATTCTATTAAAAGACCCTACTATTATATTAAAAGAACAAAACAAGGCTTCGCACATCCTTCCTTTGTCTTTCTGATTTCACACCTCCCACTCTAAGTCTACAAAGCAGCAGGTATAAGCCAGCTGTTCCCAGGAACTCTCTCCCGTTGATTCCTACCTAAGTGCAGTTCCCTATCTGATGACTATTCATCATCGGTTCCACAGTCAGACACGCTCTCCAACACCAAATCTTTGGAGACACAAGCATGAGCAAGCAGGTTGAGACAGGGGCCCAACCATTCCTGCAATGCCCACTGAGGCCATGCTGGCTCAGTCGGCATCACTTGCCCTTCCTCTGGGTCCTCAGACCTTCCCTGGGCTTGGCAGAGGCAGAGCCCTTCCACAAGGCATTGACCACAGTTGCAAACCTTCAAGCAAGAGAAAGGATCCCCCTTCATCTGGTACTTCTCCAGCTGCACCGGAACGTGATAGCTCTCCCTTGCGCAAGAAGGGGCCACCTGCACAACCTGACATTCCAACTGTTACAGACAGACATAGGGTTTGGCGGGTTCCACGAGCAGACCCTGTGCCCGGCTCAGAGCAGCTGCCCAGAAGAACCCTCTGTGAGGGTGGAAATGTTCTGGTTATAAACATGCGTCTGCAGGGCACCTGAAATGTGGCTAGTGTGGCTAATGGCTATGTGGCAAGTGGCCGCTGCCCTGGATAGCACAGCTTTAGGATGTACACATGAGGAAGACGTGACCTCCCAGTCCCGGAGGTTTCTGCAGAGGAGCTTGCTGGCCTCATCTGACCATTCATTTGTAGATTCTCCCTGGGCTCATGCATATGTGGCAGCCACTGCGTGAGGCCCTGGGGACACTTAGAGTGGAAGGTCAACACCCAGGTCTTAGGGGAATCCCAGCAGGGGCACATTATAAACAGAGTGAAGAGCATGACACCCCCACACTCATGCTGCATGTAATCCAGAGCAGCGGGGCAGAGGGGGAGCACCAGGAGCCCACCCTTCTCGTTCTGATCTGGACTAGTGCCTGGGCAGACAGCTAGCATAGTGTGGGGCCCAACAGGCCTGGGTGAACTGAGGAGGGACCTTTCCACCCCTAAACCAGTTCCCAGCCCAAGGCTGTGAACAGCAGGCGTTTATTGGGGCCAAACATGGGCTGCCTAGGGCTGAGCCCCTGGGGGACGAGCAGTGACGGAGAGGCTGTCGGTGCCCTTGCAGTGACCATCCAGAGCTGTGGCTCCTGTGCCCATGAGTGGAAGGAAGGTCAGAGACAGTATTTGGACCTGTCCGTTCCCATACCTTTCAGACAAACTCTCACACTGATGTCCTTGGGCCAGGAAAGAGCACAGCAAGGACTACCTCCATTCTGGGATCAGCCCCCACCACTTTGCTGAGCTCCCTGTGCACTGGAGCCTGTGCCCTTCTCACCTCCTCTGCAACTAGAATGTTCTATAGCTGCCCTGGTCACATGGGATGAGATCCCTTTTGTATGAATGTGTTTCCAGCCAGACAACCCTTGGCCAACAGTGTGTATACAAGGACTGGCTGTCAGGTGATGGCCGGAAGCAGGTGAAAAGTGAAAACTGGTCCCTGCTGGCCCAGGTGGATCGGGTCTGGGAACGTACTTGTGTCTGGCCTGACCCTGGTTCCATCCCTGCTGACACGTCCCAGGTGGGCGAACAGGAGCCCTGACTCCATTGTCTGCTCCTCCCCAGTGTCCACCAATGAAAGAGTCTGGTAGATGGAGAAGAGGCTGGCACAGGAAGGACGCCCCTCTCCCCAGGCTTTTAGGAAGATGTCCGTACGGTGCTCTCACCCGGCATGCTGGCTTGTCCTGCCTCGTCCCACCCAGAAGGAGCCCAAATGTCATCCTTGGTGAGGATAAGGCTGGGCCCAGGTGCTGATGCTACAATGATTCAAATAATCCTGCCACCGTGGTGTCCCCTCCCACCCTCACATAGCCTGGATGTCCTTCGTGTCTTCCCTCTGCAACCCCTCAATATTTCCCGCTTAAGATCTAGTCCAAGACCCTGGATCGTGCTCTCACCCTTTCAAGCTGAAGTATTTGAAGGAGCAAGGACCCTTAGAGCCTGGCTGCTGGTTTCATTCCTGCTTGTAACCACACACAGCAGGCATTATCTTCCACACCCCTGGGATACTAAGATCTTGAGATAAAGGATTTCTAGAAGCTGGAGGATCCTCTTCTCAGATACCCTCCAGAACTGGGTGTGGCATACGCCTGCACCAGGGGCCACCTGCCCCAGCCCTCCAGCTAAGAGGGGGAGGATTCCTTCTCAGGCTCCTTGAATCTCTTTTTGGGAAAGGATAGGAGGGGCAGGAAGGCAGTAACCCTGGGGCAATTATCCCTTTACTGCTGAAGTATGATGGAGCAAGGACTCTGGGATCACTCTAGTCTCAGCTCTGGCGGGTGCCTCACACAAGGAGGATCAGGAGCAAGGACTGAAATTATTACTGATGACAAACTCAGCCTAGAAATTCAGGGTCTGCCTCAGAAAGTAGAGGCGTGAGAGAAAGCACTAGGAATTGGGGGTTAAAAGGCCTCGTCTCCCCGTCCAGCCCCTATCCCCACAGCCTGTGCCAACCCCTCCATAATTCATCACTTCCATAATCTTCCTGTCCTCAGAGGCCAATTAGATACCATTAGGGCTCCTTCTCCTTCATCAGGATCGGTCCAAGTGCCCTGAAGGCAATGAAACAGCCTCCTCAGAGTTGGTCTACCTTGAACTGAAGTCATGATTCACAGAATCATATGGATTCTGAAAACATATTTCCCTTTCAGAATCCTGTGAATGTTTTCCTGGCTAGTAATAGGATTTTTTTTTTCAGCCTATACAAGCTATGTTTGGTGTATAATATACTAACTATATTTAAATTGTCCATATTTATATACTTTGACATACAGACACACATCATGAAGCTCGGTGATGGGATTTTTCTTATGAATGGCAAAGTTCACACCAGCAACTGTGCTCTTTAGGGAAGTATTAATCTAGAGGAACATAAACTTCTCACACAGAGACCACATACAAGCACATACCTGCTCACTTCACACACTTGTCAGTTCACAAAGAGATTCACCCAGTCTCCATGCACACAAACTCACTACCCGAATGCCACACGAGTGCTTGTAAACACATGAACATGGTTTTTACCCTTCGACAATCCGCTTTGTCACTACATCTGTGACCCTCATTTCAATGGAAACCCCAAATCAGAAGCACTCCCCTGACTAAAGACAGCAAATGATTGATTCCTGAATGCCTACCATTCTCCATGGTTCCAGAGACCACAGGAAACTATAGAAAATAGCATAAGGGTAAGAAGGTGAGGCACACTGATTGCACCACTCTTTAGATCTTGGTGATATTAGGATCCAATAGGGAACACAGTGGTTGAGTCAAAGGCCACCAAAGCAAATGAATAGGATGGCTGTCAGTGAAAGGAACAATCCAAATGACAGCCCTGCCTTAGTTTAAAGCTAGG